AATTCCTATCCAACAGGCAGCTAGAGCTCAAGAAATAGGTGAGAAACCATACCTCACTCATCGGAAATGGTGGCCGGATGACGGAGAATGAGTGCCTGAAAGTTTCTCCCGAAACCGATCGGGTTTCTGCAAAATCCGGCGGATTCCGGTGGTTTCGACGGCTGGGCTTGGCCGGGAAGGGAAGAGGACAGCTTCCCGGTTCGTTTGAGTCCTGTCCCATGGCCCGCCGTGGCCTGTGGTGGCGACGATGGCTCTTGGAAACCACCGATGGCTCTTGGAAACCACCGGCTGGAGGGAAAGAAGGGTATCGGGGGGGGGTCGGGTGCGCCGGGCTGGAGAGAGAGAGAGAAACTGAGGGTTTTTAAAAATCTAATTTTCCAAAATTACCTTTTTTCCCTTGAGTGTATTTTGACCGTACTTTCTTCGTTATAATTCCGATTCGAGTCCACTACGTGTCTACGGACTCATTTCGTCGCGCTCTACGCAACGGTATAATTGAAATCCCCAATTTCCTTCTTGGTCAAAAAGTCAACCTTTGACCTAATAAAAATTCTAAGGGCATTTTAGTCTTTTCTTCAAATAAATTAATAATTAAATATTAATTTTAGGTTTGGGTTATTACACGTTGCTTGATCTTTGGATTACATACCGCACTTCACAACAAGAGCTTTGGATTTTTTTAATCTAAAGGATTCGGTAGGACGCTTTTACCCCCAATTTTGATAGACAAATTGACAGAGTTGGACGGTATGACTCAATTGCAACTATTTGTCCAATTAAAGGATGTAATTGGCACAAAAAAAAGTTCATGAGCCCAATTACAACAGGGAGCCAAGTTCAGGGACGTCTACAGTAGATAATAAAAACTAGAAAGGTCCCCAGGAGCCACAGAGGCAGAAGGGAAATAAAGAAACAAGGGGCAAAGCAAAAAAGAAAAAGAAAAACAAGGAGTGCCAATGCATTGGTGTTAAGGTTGTGAGTTTTAAAGGCGTAGTTGGGGGTTTGAAACCTCTTGTCTTCACCACTTAAATATTTTAAGGGTATTCTATTATATATTTATTAATTTAAAAATAAACATATAATTATCAAGCCGAGTTTAGGAACGAGGATATCAATACCATCTACTACTCATACCTAACGAGGATTTTTAAACTTCGGGGATGCCTGTACCCGATCCCCATTTTGCCCCGAAATCGGGGATTTATGCCATCC